AGAGCATGTGGTCCCCATCTCAGGGGTGCCCCGGCAGGCTGCACCTTGGGCTGAGGGCCACAGCTCTTGTCATCCCGTCAGGCAGCCTTTCCCACATACTTCTCTCCTTCCAGTTCCCATAGCTTCTTTCTCCTGCCTTTTCAGGGCTCCCAGCTGCAGGGAGCTCCAGGGAGCTGCACTCTCCCTTGTGGCCCCCCACCTTGCCCACTACTGTGTCAAGAGACTCTTATCAGAAATTATCCTCATTTAGGTGTGCTGCCATTTCCTGGCGGGGCCCTGACTCAGGGATGGTTATTCTCTGTGTGGACCTAGTCAGCTCACTGCAGGGTACACATCCATGGCCCACACTCACTAAATGCCAGTAGCACCCCAAATCCTATGGTGTCAGCTTTGACTCTCAGCTCCATATTCAACTTTCCTGTGGCTCTGGGAAAACAGATTTGGGCCTTTGAAATACATTTTCTTTGCTAACTGGCATGATAAACTTGGTCAGTAGGGGGCACTGGAGAGACACTGCAGGAGGCAGGGTTTTGCTCCTGGTTCCTTCCTGTCCATGTCTGCTCACTCTGCAGCCTCCCGAAGTCCATGTGGCTTCCCCAGCGCCAGGTAGTCAGCAGACTCCACTGACGCACCTCCCTGTGAATGGCTCTCCACACCCCAGAAGCTGGATTCCCAGAAGGCATCTTACTAGTGAATCCCTCATATTATTTCGCTGTCAGTAATTCTTGATATTAAACTTTCCCTGTTCAAATTACTGGGTTTTTTTTTTTTTTTTTTCTCTCCTGATTGGATCCAAGCTGATACAGCATTGGCATCCAGAGTGTTCCAGGAGTCAGGCTCACAGAGATGGGGTTTGGGGGTTGAGATGCCAGGAACCCACGCATGCGGTGGCATCACAACAGGCATTCACAGGTTGACTGATGAGGTGCTGGCTGAAGCACGTGCCCCGGGAGCCCCTCTGGCCGCTGCACTTGACCACTGTGGCAGTGACAATTCTAAAGATAGGCACTGGACGGATTCTTTGGAGTGTCCTTGAATGCTTACAAATGGACAAGAACGAGCTGAGGTCGGTTACCTCAGCTCGTCACCGTCACAACTGGAGTACTTCCTTAACGGCCCCCGAAAATTCTTACTTGTAGCCACAGAGCTAATAACAGCTGAAAATACATCACATTTAAGTTTGCAGGTTGATGCCAGTTGAATTCCCAGTGTCAATAAGTTATGTGTGAAAGTGACTGGTGAACAGTGGGACGCTGAAACCTGGAACAGGGTCAGGCCCAGAGGGAATGGGCGGTCTCGAACCCTGTCACTCGGCCTCCCTCAGCGTCTGAGACCAGCACCCTTCCTGTGCTTGAAAACCCCTCTAAAAACTCATCACAAGCACCCCTGCCGTCACTAGGCCCATAAAATACCGAGGGTCAAATCTCAGCATGCCCCAGAGCGCCTCCGCTATGACCCAGGGGGAAACGGCTTGTACACTAACAGAATAGCAAGACCTGCAGATATATGTAGTCAGAAAACTGGGAAGCCCACGTGGGAGTAGATTCCAAGGCTGTTAGACCCGTGAGGGTGGACGTGACACCAAGCCTGGCCAAGCTCGATGGTACGAAGGCACTTACTAGAGATTCTGATTTAATGGGTTAGCCGTGCAGCTGGGAGTGGTTCTCACAGCTTCTTTGCTTGGCTGACTGGAACTTGGACTCAACAGTGGCATAGAGTTAATGAGGTGAGAAGCCAGAACCACCCTGGCGTCACCTGGAAGAGGGGATCCGAAGGCTAAGGAACGCAGGGATGTTGGACTGGGCTGGTCACAGTCGACACACATATCCGCCCCTCAACTCTGTTCCACCAGAAGGCAACTCCAGAATCATTCTCGATGTTCGACTTCTTCCCACTGCCGTGCGCATTCTCTTCTGATTGGACCCAGACTGATGCACAAGGCAACCAAAACTACACTCCGAGATTTCCAAACACCCCTAGGGGGGTGAGTGGAGAACCTCTGCACCTCCTAGGAGAAGCTAGATGAGCCAGGAGAGCTCAGGGGGACCTGATCTCTGTCTCAACCCTGGGGAAGGAGGGCTTGGACTCCCTCCAAGGTGCTCGGGCCCCTGGCCCCAGCCCCTGGCTGTCTTTTCCCACTCTTGCTTTTATCCCATTAATGTTCCCCACTTCCTCCGCATACTCTTCCTCCAGCTGGCCCCACAGGCTCCATTATTCAAACCTAGAGAGAGGAAATCGGTACTGGACAGATAATCAACTGCTGCTGCTAACAGAGAAGGTCCCTGAGACAATTGGACAGTCCTCCCCAACCCCTGGTGGGGTGAAAGGGGTCAAGCCAGGCTTATTCCTACCCCAGGTTCCAGGTGGTCTGGAGTGAGGAGGCCCCACCTTCCTACCTCCCCAGACAGCAGAGGCCTCAGGAGGGCAGGCCTGTAAACAGGTAGACATAATCTCCTGTCCCTGGAGGGCCGGATGTGAGTGTTCCCAAGTCCCTGTGCAGCTGTGGGTGGGGCTGGAGTGGGCACTGACCCTGCTGGTCTGGCAGCCCAGGCTCCGGAGCCAATGGAGGAAGAGCAGGATCGGCTCCGCCAGAGGGCTCCCCCTGCGCCGCCCCCACCCACTGCCCTCTGGCTTGTCTCTCCCTCTAGCCGCCCCTTCGCCCATCTGGTCCTCTCTTGCCCCTCCCTGGCTCCCTTCCCAGACTCCCCCCTCTGACCCCTCCCTCCACTGCGACCCTCCACCTGCCTCTCTAAATCTTCCCCTTTAGCCTCCCTCCTGGGGGCTCCCTGCCCTGGCCACCCCCTCCCTCACTCAGTCCCCACCCCCCTCGTCCTCCTCCCTCCTGGCAGTGCTCTCCACTTAGCCTCCTGTGTCTCCCTCTCTCCTCTCCCCCCACTCCCTGCCACCCCAAAGGTCTCCCCGGCTGCTTCTCCT